GAGATGATGAGCTTTGATAGACTGGCGAGTACAACAGAATTAGTACTTTTGTCTGGTGTCTGGTGAGATATTGGTTTAGACAAAGCTGGCGTGCTGCACGACTTTCCTCGCTGAGATTGAGCTCAGCCATGAGGATTCTCGGTGTTATGTCTCGACGGTATGTCGAGGAAGCTTCAAAGCCCATCCACTTGGAGCTCACACCTGGAGGAAATAACGACATGGGCACTTCAGCCAATGTTCTATCCAGGAAGGCAATGGCAATGTGCGAGTCTTGACGGCCTTCAAGCAGGTCCTAATCAACTACAATACGGAGACTCTCCAGCTCTCTCTAAGTTTACCTAAGCTTCAGCATGGAAACCCATCTGACGATATCAAAAAGTAGTTCTTTCGCATCCTGTCTTACTTAGCTTCATTCTCGCATTGACAGAGAAAGCGAGGGAGCTCTTGAGTGGCATCCAATTGCGCGGAGTGAACACATCCTTATCTTCTTGTTGCAAGATCTTCATCATCCTTATTATCCTGTAGTATGCATGTTTGGCTAGGGGTTTGTTTGAGCTGTGTAATGTTTCCATGCCGGCAGTTGCGTTGACTGGGGTCTTGATGTTGTATTCTCGTATCTCGTATTGTAAGACGATAATGGTCAACGTCCCATCATACGATGAGGATTGCATGCATGCTGGGTGAGCTTGGCGTGGTCTCGTTGCGGAGAAACTGAGTCGCAACTTGTAAATGTCTCTTCTGTCTTTCCTGGTAGACTACGTATTTCCGAATACGAGTTTCATTCTCAACACCTCTTCTGTCCCAATCGGTGATATTCCTGCCATTGGGCCTATTCTCCCCATTGGCTCGCATTCTTGAAGGTATCCCTCCGGCGAAGGAAACTCGTTTCATCTCTGGCTCTTTAGCGGAGCTATCCAGTGCTTGCGTCTTACTCAAGCACACTCCTTTGATCCAATCAAGCTCGTGGGTTATTCCATTGACAACGGATGAACTGCATTACAATGCCGGTGGCATCAACATGGTTTCTGAAGAATACAAAGTGTTTGGGGTTCGGTTGAAATAGAAGAAAATGTAAGTTTTTTGCCGATCCCTAACAGTGTAGCACACTCCCAGTCGGACGGGACAGAGCAGTTCACGATGTTTTGATTAACTACATGCGGTGGCATGAACGTATAACTTAGAAGGGACAAGCTCAATATTGCGGTTAGCAGGGCGTGCCGTTCATTCAAACACGGAAACCTTAACCCTTTTTAGAAAAGGCCCTTGTCGCGATAAACTTGCCGCAGCAGTTGGTTCCGTCGGCAATTTTCGTTTTTCCTGTCGGCAAGCCTTAAACTTTGCCTACTGCTTCCCCCAACTCACTCTCCAACTCTCTCTGGTTCATCAAGCGCCCGCACTCGCTGCCAGATTGAAGCTTCCAGCCCCCCGGTTTGCTCCATGTCTCATCCTACTTTAGACATGCCTCCTTCTGGATGCAACGACAAGACCAGCAGCGACGAGTCGCATCATGTTTGAGTTTCGTTGAAGCTTCAACAGGCACGCGTCTGTTGCGTGTAATTTTCCTATAAACTTCAGTCCTCAGCCTTTTTTAGCTACAAATATTAGCCCCCCGATGCATCTCTGAACCCTTCGAGAACAAGAAACAACCTCTTCTGCCCGGAAGAAATAAGGAGACATCTCATGGACCCAAACTTTGCATCGCTTGGCAAGAGCACCACCACCAATGGCGTTCCCGCAGTCCGCCGCAGCAGCGTCATCCAGCACGACAACGGCTCCCACAGCAGCAGCGGATCGAGGCGGAGCGCCTGCGACCGCTGTCGCGCCCACAAGCTGCGATGCGTGAGGCCGCCCGGCTGCGACTTCCTCAACGAGGGTGCCGGGGGAGGCTTGCCGGCCTGCGAGAGGTGCGTCAAGGCCGGCGCAGAGTGCCTGCATACGGTTCGCACGCGACAGGTGTCGATACGGACCAGCGGCTACGAGCGACGAGGGTCCATGGGTTCGGTGTCGCCCCCTATTGTCTATCAGCGGCCTGTCACCGACGATGCCCTCCCCCCCGGACCGGGCGGCGGCCACATGTACCAGGATACCAGCACGCGATCATCCTACCGCACCACCCCGATGTCACAATGCCCAGGAGAAGTGCGAGCAGCACTTACAGCAGTCGGCAATCAACAGCAGCAGCAGCATGATGGCAGGCCGATCCATGGGCCATCACGGCGGCAGGACAGCTTCCATCGCACCATGGCCGCGGACCCATCCGGTGCGGACCTGTCCGCAATTAGTGGAGGCTTCCCCGGCATGGTCTTTGCGGGCGTCGATGCAGGCGTGAAGTCAAACCCCGGGGGGCGCAACGGCAGCATCCCCTTTGGGATCAGCGATCACGACCTTTCCTCCTTGAGCCACTGGCCGGAGTGCGACCCTGCCCTGACCAACATCTTTGGCCAAGATCTAAGCGAGTTGACTAACACCACCACCACCACCACCACCACCACGGCCCCGGAGAAGAGCACCAGCGCGCCTGTCGTCGAATCAAACGAGAACCCGAAAGCGACGACACGAGGACCAATCACGACTATTACGAGTGATCGATGTGAGACCATGGACGAGTGTCTGCAGCGGCTCACCGAGTTGACATCGCTGCTGCTGAGATGTTTCAGCCTCACAGAAGATCACGCCGTGGAGCTGGAGGATCTGCTTGCTTACTCGCCGGGCGGGAAGACCCGTGCCGCCGCGGAAGCTCATGAGGAAGAGTCCGAGACGGGAAAGAACATGGTCGGCGTGTTGTTGGAAAGCTCCCAGGTCTTTTTGGACACCTTGGAGCGTCTCAAAGGTCTGCAGACCCCGCCACGGCAAGACAAGCAAAGCGACTGCTCGTCCCCCAGCTCGGAATACTCCTATGTTGACTCGCCAGAGGAGATGGACGTGTTCTCAAACGACGGAACGGCAAATACACACGAGTCTCTACCCATGCCTCACAGGCGCCCCGAGGATGAAGATGGTACCAGAGACGGGATGGATGATCTGCTCAAGAGTCCAGGGGCACCTCACTCCCGCAGTCAAGCAGCGCCGGCGGCCCCTTTGCTGCTCTCACCCCAACACAGCGGCTTCTTCAGCATGCCGACGACGTTCACAATCATCAGCTGCTACATGTGGCTCTTCCGCGGCTACGAGGCCGTCTTCGCAGCCATCCACAACGCCCTCCTGACGCAAAAGTACCAACGGCATCAATGTACACCCGAAAGCAGCGGCAGCAGCAGCAGCAGCACGAACCCACGGCACGGCGGCAAGGGCATGGGGCCGGTGATCCTGCCCGACATCAACATTGGCGGGTTCGGCCTTAACTGCCACCCGCACCTGCAGATTGAGATGCTCATCCACGTCAGCTGCCAGATGCTGCAACGCATCGAGGCCGTGCTGGGCATCGACCCCGCATCGCGCGAGAGCTGCACCCTGGCGGAAGCGCAGCAGAATGGCGTGCTCAACCTGACGAGCGCACCGACGCTGCTTCACACGTTTCTGCACGGCGCCAACAGGGGTGGCGGCGGGGAGGGGCCCAACTCGGCGCGGCTGTCACTGGTCCGCGGGATTGTGAAGAGCATCCGGCATACTTTACGAGGTGGACGTGGTTAGGGTGGACGTGTTTAGACACCATTTCATCTCAGAGAGGTAGACAAGATTCAGAGCCATGACTTAGATTACAGCGATTTGTAAGTAGATAGCCTTCATGACATAAACACTCTCAAAGCATCAAATCCGAAACTGGGAATATCATTTGATTCTCTGGTAGTTGCCTAAGATTTCATTGAGCCAGCTAGTCATTGTCTTCATTAGCCACTTAGCGACTCAAAATGAGGTTGCGGACATTGTTCGGACGAATACACTCGCGGGCTTCCCCGTACAGCTAAGCGACGTCCCTGTCAATAAAAGTAAGCACTTATAACGCAGCCACCACCTCGAATTCTGACACGTGAGATAGGAGGGTGTCTTGCCTTGACTCTGCATCAGTACGCCCTACCTGAAAATGCAGAACCCGGGTAACACAACGCTACTGGCCAATGGGCTGATTTGTTTTTCACAGCTCGCTTCGAGCAACATTTGTGATTGCCCTCCTTCCCCACAAAACTGCACTGATGGCGTTCCTGAGTTGTCGGTGATCGATGCTGCGGTTCATCAGAGGTGCCGATCGCTTGGGTGCCGTACGATTCGGTGAGCCACCCCCACACTCGGATTCGGACGTGGAGACGTCGGTATCGGCGTCGGAGGCCGAAACGAACAGGACATGCCTGGCCTAGGGCCTTCCAGAACCTTCCGGAACAATTGTGATGCCCGTGTCCGATGTCCCGATGGCCACATTCTGAGGTATCTTATCCTATTTTTCCGCCGTGGTAAGGCCTCTGAGAGGAAATAGACTTGAGCAGGGCCTAAAGGTTGCATTGCGTGCCTGTCCGGAGTAACGCTGCAACACCTTGTGAACTTGGCAGTTGGTCAGTCGGCCAACTCACAGTGAAAAAGCCGGCACAACGAAAATTACATGTCAGGGTGATGAGGGCTGTACTCTATCGGAGGACAGAGAAAGGTTATGCTGCATAGCACCAACGTGAGAGTATCGCAGCTGCAGTCACATGACATTATTTGCATCATTCAGCTCATCACATAAGATGACCAAGGTGGTATGATTGAAGCTGCCAGTACAGACAGGGATTAGTGACAGAAGGTCTGTGGAAGGTTGGCTGATTTAGGTAGGAACCTACAGTCCTGTGCAATCAGCACCGAACTCCGAATGCATCAGAGGCCAAGCAAACGACACGGAGCAACTGTTCTCCTCATGAAATCGTTTCTAGAGGACCGGAGCCAGAGTATATAAGTCCAAACTGTACAATCGCCGGCGTCCCTCGCGTGCCATGCATATCTCATGTCTCCACGCCTTACACACTTGACAGTATCTAGTTATTCCACTCGCAGGTTACGCACCATCAAACATTAGAGCTGATTACTTCAATATGGCCAACGTGTCTGACTCTTACTCGCCTGCTGGCTCCGAGCCACATAGCTACTGGGCTTCTACTCTAGCAGGTGTTGTCTTCGTCGCGTTTCTGTTATTTTCGCACAGCTGGTTCAAGCCGAATCCACTTGCCAATGTCCCAATCGTGGGGAAGGGTTCGCGATGGGCCCGCAGAAAGCATTTCATGCAGGGCAACGCGACTCAGATGTTCCTTGATGCTTATCGCAACGTCAGTCGTGCCCTGGAAGCCTCGTGTGCCTGGATATCCCTGACGTCTTCTACAGCACAAGGACAGCATCTCTCTCATCACAACTGCCAAGAGTAAGATGGATGAACACCGTGATTAGATACCTTGTAGCTGATCCACTCCCAAGCTAGGGATTCAATCCTGGTTCCTCCCAAGTATCTGCCAGAGTTGAGTAAAGCGCCCGACGATGTCATCAGTGCCCAAAAGGCGGTTGAAGAGGTTTCTGGAACCGCCCTCACCCTGCCTTTCATTTACAAGTACTGACCGAGAAAGTTCATCCAATCCAAATACACAGCCGTTGGCTTCGAACTACCCGTTTTCGTCCACGTATCAAGAGCCAACTTGACCCCCGCGCTAAGTTAGTCAACCCTGGTCTAGTGCAATAACTGGCGAATTAACTCCTCTCCATAACAGACGATCTGAACCCCGCCGTTGCCAAGACAATCGCCAAGACGCTGCAACGCGAACTGGCGCCAACATCCAGTTGGAGCGAAGTTGCCATCAACGCGAAACTCCTGCGCATTATCGCGATTGCGTCAGGGCACGTTTTCGTTGGCCCTGAGCTTTGCGATAATGAGGCGTACCTCAGCACATCGATCGACTTTACTCAACATCTCATGAAAGCCGTCTACGGCATTGCCATGATACCGACCTTCCTGCGGCCTCTAATTGCCCCTTGGCTCCCCATGACGAGGGCGCTACACAAGCGGCTCGCTGAAGCTGATGCGGTCTTCCAACCCATCGTCACTGCCCGGCAGCAGGCGGCAAAGGAGAGCTCACTAAAGCACAATGACATGCTCCAGTGGATGCTCGATTCGCAGACCCGAGTGGGCGAGCTGAGCACCCGAGATCTGGCGCTGGCGCAGATTGGTGCTAGTTTCGCGGCCATTCATACTACGACTATGACGGCCACGAACGCAGTGTACTGGTTGGCGGCGAAGCCCGAACTAGCCCCCATGCTTCTGGAAGAGGTTGAACAGGTTCTGGAGGAATCCAATGGCCAATTCACAACCGCAGCACTCCTGAACATGAAGAAGATGGACAGCTTTCTCAGAGAGGTCATGAGAGTTACTCCCTTGAGTGCGAGTATGTGATCAATTACATGGATTAGGAATCGCTGTGTCCAGACGACTGACACCGTAACAATAGGCGCATACGTCCGCAAGGTCCTGAAACCATTCGAACTCTCGAACGGCCAGGTAATTCCGGAGGGCATGTTCGTAGAGGTCCCAAGCGTCGGCATCAACGAAGACCCAGAGATCTTCCCGAATCCCGACGTATTCGATGCTCTGCGCTTCTACAAGCTCCGCAGAGATGACAACCCAGCCCAACTGAACCAGCTTCAGGCTGCTTACGTTGGACCCACGCACCTCAGCTTCAGCTTCGGCAAGCACGCTTGTCCAGGGCGCGTTTTCGCCGTTAACGAGATCAAGACGGTGATGGCGAATCTTTTGCGCATCTACGACATCAAGTTGCCTGACGGTGTAAACGAGAGATATCCCAGCCTTGTGTTTGGTGATCAGGCAAGTAGACCCATTGCTGTTTATAAGAATGACTAAGGAGATCTAACCGAAATCTGGCGTTAGAATGTCCCTGACCCCACGAAGACTATTTTAATGAAGCAACGAGACATGGAAGTTCTTGTTTGAATGATTGGCACTGTAAACACAGATTATTGTAGTGTAGTGATGGAGTGAATTGCTATTTCGCTGGACCCACGGGGCACAAGGAATGTAGTCTGACAACAACGCAACCCATTTGCACCCGAGTCTTGAAAGAGCGGAACTGCATGTGCATCTAAGCTGCAATTTTTCAATATGAAGAACACAATCATACTTCCGTTACCTAAAAGCTGTCCACACTGGTGATGATGTACATACAGCTCGGGCATGATTTCTCAATACTTGCGATACAGCTCTCAAACCATACTTCTCATTCAGAAGAAGCAACGCAAGTTGCCTGGCAAAGACGTTTTACTTTTTTTTGCAACAGGTCGGGTAGTAGATGGAACGCTTCTAACGCAGGTACTGTGACAATCGAAATTTCCAGACCTCTCAGCATTTGTAAACCTCACTTGCTGACAAAACACTTCCGTTGATAGCCTCATTGTTCTCCCTGGGTTCCCAGTATCTCTTCCGTTTCAATCTAGATGGGTGCAACTGCGGGAGCGTTTTCTCAGGTCCCGAAAGTTATCTGCCCTGCGTTGTTGCGGAAGTCAAAATTTGGCTTTCCCGTTATGTTTGATGGCCCGGCCCACGTTGCACCATCGGAGGGCTCCGACCATGTTGTTCTCCCAATGGCGAAATTCACCGACTCTTGGCGCGAGTCGCTCATGTAACCGTATTATAAATCAGGCAGCATTTGGCTTCCAGACCTGCATGATGCATTCGGACTAGAATTACCACTCCTGTCAGTGGCACCCACCCAAAGTGCGTAGACACGAACCTCTCCTTGGACTTTAGGCTTTCCAATCGGTGGGAATTCGCTGGTTTATTGTCGATCGCACCGATTTCGTCCCATCTTAATACGTTGAATATCTTTACAATAGACAAGGAACTCGTAGATTGTCGTGAGTGCCGCTCCGGCACATTGAGTCGCAACGACACCTTTGGGGGCCATGTAAAGGAATGTCGAGTCAAGAGCCTGCCGCAGAAGCGTATCTCAGCTAGTCCATAAATGGAGTAAATCGATAAGTTCTACGTTCGTTGTGTTCCTTCTATCGACACATTTCTCTTCCGTACCTGATATTCCCTTCCTGTTCAACCAGTCCACATCAACAAAATGTCTCGACCCGAGGATGGCATCAAGTTGGGAGATCGATCTCCAAATCGAGTTGAATCTAATCCAGATAGCCCTGTGACACTCAACGACAAAACACAGGCAGACGCGACAGCCGATCCGACGCCCGACGAAAATGCACCCAAATCCGGTGGTCGTGGATGGGCCTTTTGGGCCATCTTCGCCAGCTTGTCCGTCACAGCTCTCCTAAGCTCCATGGAAGGCGGCATCATGTCTACGGCTCTCCCAGCAATTTCGCGCGCTGTAGATGCCGAAAGGGACTACATCTGGGTTGTGAACGTTTACTTTCTCACCAGGTAAGTCATGTGGTGTTGATATGGAAGCGTCAAGCAAACAAAAAAATGGTCTAGCATGGATAACTGTACTACGCGATCTTGACGCTTACCAACGCGTGTTTCCAGTGCGGCTGTTCAACCTCTCTACGGTCAGCTAGCAGACATCTGGGGCAGACGGTGGCCAATGCTGGCTTCCGTGGTCATCTTCGCCGCAGGATCGGCTGTCTGTGGTGCCGCCAACAACGCGGCGACACTAATCGGCGGGCGAGCAGTACAAGGGCTTGGCGCCGCTGGCATCAACACTCTCGTAGAGATCATCCTTTGCGACCTCCTACCGCTGAGAGAGCGTGGACAATTCATGGGACTCCTCTTCCTCTTCATCGTCATCGGCTCCGTGCTGGGACCCTTCCTCGGTGGGATCATCGTCCAACGGACATCTTGGCGATGGGTCTTCTATCTGAACTTGCCAATTTGCGGAGTCTGCCTGGCCCTCCTCTTCTTTTCCCTGAACCTCAAGCACCGCAGCGACGAGGACTCAACACCACTGGAAAAGCTCAAAAGGATTGACGTTGTCGGTCTCCTTCTTCTGTGCGCATCTGTCACGTCACTTCTATACGGTCTTACGTACGGCGGCGGATCAAAGTACGCGTGGTCCCATCCAGTCATCATAATTACACTGGTGCTGGGTGTCATCGGCCACGGCTTGTTTATCGGCTTTGAGGCATCGCCTTGGTGTCCTCATCCAGCTTTGCCAATATCACTGTTCCAGAATAGAACGTCTGTGGCCGCCTATGTGGTCGAGGCCGTGCAGATCCTGGTATCATACGGCGCACTTTACTTCCTCCCGCTCTATTTCCAGTCAACGCTTCTGGTGTATCCCGAAAGATCTGGAATTCTGCTCCTACCGTTCTCGATATTGTTCTGCTTATCTGCTGCTGTCGGTGGTGCTCTAGTCACAAACATGGGCAAATTCCGTATGGTACATATCGGCAGCTTCGCACTGATGACGATCATGATGGGCGTTTTCACCTTGCTCAACCGTAACACACACCTCGCTGTAATTGCAATCACGGGGATTATCACGGGTATCAGTGTCGGCCTTCCCAATGCCTCCATCTTGACCGCGGTTCAAGCCGCGTTGCCAGACTCGCTCAACGCGGCCAGCACCAGCGCATTCGCCTTCATCAGAAGTATATCTACTGTCTTCGCCATCACGATCCCAGCTGCCATCTTCAACAGTCGATTTGACGAACTGCTCTCGTCCTCCACCCTGGACAGTAATGCGAGAGCAAGCTTGGGCCTTGGCCAGGCGTACCAACAGGCGTCACGAGATTTTGTCCGTTCCTTCCCTGATGCGGTGCAGAACGAAATCATCGGCCTATACGAGGTGAGCCTACAGCGCGTCTGGCAAGTGCTCATCGCGATCGCGGGTCTTGGCGTTATTGCGTCTTTGATAGAGAAAGACCTGGAGTGTCGCACCGAACAAACAACAGAGGAATTTGGTCTGAAAGAGGAAAAGCCGGGCCAGACATCTTTCAATAGTGAGGTATAGACTATCTCGCATGTATGATCAGTCGTTTGAGTTTTCAACCTGGCACTTGCGCATGTCATAAGCATGTGCTAGCGCTTAGAATAGACTTCTGATTGGCTTTTACACAACGTGCCGTGGATGATTTGCTTTGTACTTTGAGTTAAAGTGGCGATAGCTTGTCTGAGTGAGATACCTCGCCGACCGTGTTCTAAGGTTACCACAGGCTTAGTGATGTCGAATTCTTTCACAGGAAGCAACAAATAGACGTGCTTTAAGCAATATTCATGGCTTTTGCGGCAGAGAAGAATATTCAGACTTCTCTCATTAGATCGTATTGAATACTCTCTGTGTTTAAACTGAGCAAACCACGAGGATACAATGTTTCCTAAGCATAATCTTTCCGCTTATAATAAACACGAGCCTTTTTCCCTAGGTTACCTTAGGAACACGGGGGAATGACTGTGATCCGCAACAAAAAGGTTTCTTCGGAGATATGTTGCCATATGAGGAGCATATGCTACAAGAACACCGGCGGTCTATCAATATCAAGCGCACGATCAAGAAACTGCAAACTTCTTTGGCCACACAAGGCCACGGCTCCCATCTTTGCCTGGAGACTCCCCTGCCCCGGACTGGCCGGCACCCACATTTCCTTGTTCTCGAGAGGAACGTTGACCAAGCCGTCATAACATCGCTTGGTGTGCTCGTCCACGTCCAAGTACAGCGAGTTACCGCTACCAGATACGAGAACAGGACAGACCACGCGCGTGAGATAGTCGACACCATCCTTCTGTTGTGAACCAGCCAGCGAAAACTTCTTCATATGAAGCAGGATATCTGAAGGCGACGAGAGCCCAAAAAAGGTCCCTGCAACAGAGATCTCCCACTTGAGTTGGAAAGAGAATGTCTTCAGTGTATTCATCAACTTGTCTATGACGTCCCGGCTCATCCATCCATTCATCCAGGCCGACAGGAACAAGCGGGAGACGTGGGCGGTGCCAAAGTCCCACATGTCAAAGAACGGGTCCTGATTAGAAGAAAGAACCGTGTTAGCACAGGGGTCATAAAGTTCTGATCCTTAATGGAACTTACGATTGAGACGCAAGCTTTGACCCTGGGATCAGCAGCAGCACGAAGCGCATAGTAGCCTCCCATGGACGCACCAGCGACAGCAATGCTATCGACGTCGAGTTCAAGATTGGGATTCTTGGCGGAAAAGTCGACAAGATGATCGATAACTCGCTCCGAAACAATCTCCCAATTTGGTCGCATAACGAGGCCGTGGCGACGGAGCATGACACCCTGGCCAGGCCCATCAAACGTGAGAACGGCGTATCCTTGCCGGTAACCAGAGGAAGGGTACATGAAGAACAGCTCTTCCTGACAGGAATCCGCTCCTCCAAAGTTCACTAAGATGGGCATCTTTCGGCCAGGGATACGGCAGCTGTCAGGTGGCAGATAGAGGTATCCTGGCAAGCGGTGGCCCTCGTAGGGAATAGAAAGCAATTGTACCGGGCAGTCCATAAGATCAATGGCCTTGCGAAAGAGACTGCCCATCCGCTCCGAGACAGATAGCGCACACGGATGCTGTATCATGGCCGTGTCGCCATTGGCGGGCGGGGAAGAAACGAACATGTAGCCGCTGGCACGAGTGTAGTTGGCAGCTCGCAGGTATGCCCTTCTGGCGGCATCTTTGTCGCCGTGCGCGCAGGCCTCTTTGGCTAAAACCTCGGCTCGTGCCGCTTGTTTAGCCCACGCCTTTTCCCATGATATAGGATCGTTGGCTTTGATTTCGCCCACTGCTTCGAGAACCTCGGCTGTCTCAGCACCGCCATAGACGGTAGTCCCGAGTATTCGAACAGTCTCGAAGTCGAAAAACGTGCTACTTGGGAATAGTTTGTGCATTTTTGTGAAGTCTTGAATAGTCGTGACGATGGTTTCTGGTTTATGGGTA